GAATTGTCCCTAAATGTAATATGTCATTATTAATATTGTACTGTAACAGAACAACGATATAAACAATACAGATAAAAATACAAATAACAATGTATGAAAAGGCACCGCTTTAATTAACAAAATGAAAAGAAAAAAAACCTGGCAACGAACAGAGCTGTCCTTAAAATTGGATAACAACCTGGCAATTAATTATTTATAAACAAACACCGCGAGTCGCTACCGTTATGAATCGCTGGGGAAGAACGTTGTTTTTAGTAATAAAATGCTAAAAACTGGTGTAATTAGTGAGAAAATTGGATGAAAAGGAATTGTAAGACATTATTAGGAGCGCACAGTAGGTAAAAAGACAATTTTTGAAGATAGAAGTGTTACAGCACAGTTCATTAGCGCCGATCTGCAGTGGCGGATCCTGTTTGCTGGAGGGGAGGGTGGGGTGTTGAAAGACTATGCAGCAGTCAAATAACGAGTGTGCCATGAATAATTTAGCTAAGAGTTGGGGGAATATTCACTTTAGCCTGGAGACACATGCATCTGCCCCTGTTTTGTAGTGGTAGGAGACGCTACTACTAGTGACAAACGATCTTATGGAGGTGTAACACCTCACAACTCCACCCCTCTGGCCCCCTCCCCTATATTATACTGAGGCTATATATATATATATATATATTTATAGATAATTTTAATAGCTTTCGTGTGATAAAAAAAAATGAATATTCCAGTGACGGACTTGGTTCAAAATATGCAAAATTGCCATGGCTAACATAAAAATTAATTGCCAACTCGAGGATATCCTAAATAAAGGACCAATAATAATGTGTATAATAATCGTATTTTCAATTGAGATCTATTTTCCCTACTATTGTTTTTCAAATCAAGATTTTGAAAACAAAAGTATTTACTCGACTTATAGAGTAGTGAAACAACTCAAGTATATATTGCTATCGTTTGGATGCACATTAAATAAAATTAGGCAAACTTAAGTAGACGTTGATTTATCATAGAGATATAGCTGTCTCTTATACACATCTAGATGTGTATAAGAGACAGTATATATATATATATTTGATAGATAATTTTAATAGCTTTCGTGTGATAAAAAAAAATTAATATTCCAGTGACGGACTTGGTTCAAAATATGCAAAATTGCCATGGCTAACATAAAAATTAATTGCCAACTCGAGGATATCCTAAATAAAGGACCAATAATAATGTGTATAATCGTATTTTCAATTGAGATCTATTTTCCCTACTATTGTTTTTTAAATCTAGATTTTTGAAAACAAAAGTATTTACTCGACTTATAGAGTAGTGAAACAACTCAAGTATATATTGCTATCGTTTGGATGCACATTAAATAAAATTAGGCAAACTTAAATAGACGTTGATTTATCATAGAGATATAGACATGTTATAGTTCATTAGGCTAAATTGGTATCAATTGTACGTGTGCTGGACCATAAAAATCCTTTCGGATTTTTCTGTCCCATGTTAAATTCTATCCGTTTCCCTTGCGTCAACTTGGGGAATTAGTGTCTAGTCTAGTTTACAGTAATGTTTTCTCTTTTTTATGGGTTCATCCAACTTGTGTCAATTCTGTACATTCTTCAATTGATTGAAGAATGCATCTTCAGATATGTACAGGGATACAATATATTACACCAAATATGCTGGTCCACCTGAAAAATGTCTGTGTTAGTTTAGAAAATATGGTACGGTAAGTATTTTCTTCGTCCTTGACAGGTCCTGGCGAAATCCTCAATTCATCATAGAGGGGTTATCTGGTGTTATATCTGAATTCACATCTATAACTATTTTCTGTTTCTTGTTCCGGTTATTAAGCTGCAGATAACTGAAACGATAAAAGATACGGTAATCAAATTAGTATCCAAGTAACAGTACGTAAATTCAATCAAAATGCTGAACAAATTCGGAAATTTTAAAATTTTACCTGACTGCTATAATTGGTAACAGGCAGAAACTGCCACACATCCAGAACACGAACGTAGGCATGCTGTAGACAGTCACTGAATATATGTTGTTAAGAATAAGAGGCGAGGCAATACCTGCTAATGCATCTGCCATCCCTAAGAATCCAAAAACAGCACCTGGAAAAAGAATGGTATTTTCTGTCAAAAATTGAACCGTATGGATTGGATAACATACTTATTATCCATAATGGTATTCTGGGTTCAAATTTTGTGAAGCAGAATTTGTTTAACCACTAAGAATAACTCAACTTCTCAACGTAAAAAGGAACCTCACAAGGTTCGTGACACTCAGCCTATGAGGCATAAGATCTCCGTGTCAGTGCATTTGCATAAACTAATCCATCTGCAACGTCCGGTGGACCCGAGGGCCTTGGGAAGCAAGAGCACTTCAAAATCCAGAGCTCTTCCAGAAAAGTGAAAGTGTAATCAAACATAATGTTGCAGTATAGTGGGAACTTATACTTTATAACGATAAGTACCGACTACATGGCAATATAGCTAATAGACAGTTGTCCCTCACTTGTAATAATATAAAGATCATTATTTCATTAAAATGTTCTTTAGCTTCAAAATGGTGCATGGTTATTAACGAATAGAGAACAATATTTACCCTGTTCCTGAGGAGAGGAACTCTTGGAGACTAAGGATCGGCATGATGGTCCAAATAAGGTCTTGAAGATTCCAAGTCCGACTCCTAGAAAAGATCAACTGAACTACAGCATAAATGAAATGGTATTGACATATTATTCAACACTACATTGACTATTAAGTAAATGCTGGCGCATGTGCAGGCCTAATTCCTCACAACCTTACAAAAAATTCATTAATGTCACTTTATCGTTTTAGTTATTTGCGCTTTCAAAATAATCATGTTTCACACGAATACATGAATTTATTGTACCCTGTATTAGATATTTTTACACCAAATTAATTTGAAATTTTAATCATTTGCATGATGTACTTGGTCCAAATCTAAAATGGTAAAAATATATTCACACGGTTAATTTGACAGTGTGCATCAAAGTTTAGCCCATGACAACCATTGCCTCTTACCGACAAATGCAACTGCGGTTGTTTTGGCAGCGGCACCAACATAGAAGAATAGCATGGCGGAACACATGCCGAGATGAAGAAGCCAATAATCGTCAAGCCATCTTTTCAAAAATAAAGCGCACATAACCAATCCTGTGGAAAATAGTTTACACTTCTGAAATAAATTCGGCCTCTAATTATAGGGCCAGTTGTCAATAAATGGAAACATTCAATAATCTGGACTATAAAGAGAATGTGAACATACCATTCATAAAATTTAAAAACAAAGGAATGAGGATACAATAAAATGTTGTTATAGAAGTTGGACAGAGAGAGTGTAAAATGATATGTAAAATTGGGAAGATGACAAGAATGTTTTGTTCAATTTATTCTCGTAAATTTGGTTTTATTAGTAAAGAGGTTTTAGTTCCATTATCTGATAGACGCAAAATTTTTGACTGGATTTTTCTTTATAAATGCATGAATTCAAAGGATGGGAACTTTGAGGTTTATTTTCCAATTTCTGTTCCGATATATAATTTACCCAATCCTACACAATTTTCTATATCCAGGGGGAGAGTCAATGTGACAAAAAATGGTTTTACAAATAGGCTACCTAAGTTATATAACTCTTTGTGTAAAGTCAGTTTTTCTAATTGATTTTTTTTGACATTTTCATATTTTCGCCATAAAGTCTTGTCTAATGTTTCTAAAACTTTTGTGGTTGTGTTGTCTTGCATAGTTTTGTATTTTTATTGTGTACTTTCTCTTTATTCAACCCTGTAAATGGTGACTTTGGTCACTGTAGGGCATGGATGAAATAAAATAAAATAAAAACAGTGAGAGAAACTAAAACAACTACAGTTTGTTGAAGAGGCAGCGGCGCCGCGACTATTTCCCTATCGATGATAGGTGTGCCATATAGATTTTCGATTGATTGACTGTGAATGGAGTGTAGATATCGTTAAGAAAGAGAAATGATAAAAATGAAGCAGTAAATTAGATAGTTGGTACTCTCTTAATGTACTCTCTTAATGTAAAAGAGTGAATTTTCACTCGAAAAGAGTGACTACAGGGACCACTCCAATTTCACTCTTTTTCGAGTGAAAATTCACTCTTAAATGAGTGAATATTATTCTTAAAATAGCGAAAAATTACTGAAATTCACTCTGAATAGAGTGACATCTCACTCGTTCTATTTCACTCCATGAGGAGTGGTCCCCTGTAGGCACTCTTTCACTCTTTTTTCACTTATTTGCATTTAGAGAGTATACCGTACGTAATCTGATCCTCTGCGGTACAGAGAAAGTGAATTAAATGTGTAAAAATTGGAAAGAATTAATAATTTTGTATACAACTGAGTTTGAATGCGCCTGTAATTACGGAAGTTGATAAAAAGTGCATGATGCTCTGTTAAATACATCATGTTAATAGAGCACCGTGTCACTTTTAATACTGCCAGTGTACAATAACCAGGCGTGGGTCGATTCAATCCTCTCTAGTATTCACGTTAGTGATCAACTCACTAGAAACCATGTATTCGACCAAACAGTTCCAAGTAACTTACCAAGTGCTGGACTAAATGACATCGCGGCTGAATAATACGACAATAACAGGAATGAAAAACAAAATGGTTCACCAAGAAAATGAACAATCAGCAATCCATATGGCGAGTTTGCAGTTGTAAAGGTCGTTAAAATGAAGAATACAAAATTAATAATATAAAATGTTTTTCTATACTCCACATCTTTTTCAGCCAGTACTTTCACAACACCGTTTATAGATCTTGTCAAATTTTCTTTAAATCTGGTTTTGATGAGAATAGTTTCCCGGAGCAAATATGGTATCGATGTGTAAATAATTGCCATAGAGGTAAAACAAACCGAGATAGTAAACGTAATCGTAAAATCGAAATAATCAACGAGAAATCCTCCACACAATTGACCAATACCTAGCGAAAGCAATAAAACACAGTCACATACAATTATTCTCGGTGTTCTGTTTTCTTTTGTAGTAACGTCACATATGTATGTAAAACAAGAAGCATTGAAGAGAGATGTGGCTCCACATAATCCTTTTACAAACGATGAGGCGATTAAAATTTCTAGATGAAGTTCAAAATGAGCAACAAGTGTCCAAGTGATGAAATTAATAAGAGTTCCAGCGGAAGATGTCAGAACAGCGAATCTTCTTCCAACAGAGTCGCTCCATGCCCCAATTATTACGGTCATAAATATCGATGGTAAGGCGTAGGCTAGTGTAAAGTACATCAACCACACCGATGTTTCGGCCTGAATCTCGCTTTGCAACTTACTCTGTGCGTTGGACTCGTTCACGGAACACGTTCCATTTTCAGCGTTGTTTGGCAAAGTGTAATTATGGAGGATAGCAATTCTTCCTTGAATGAATTCTGACTGAACACCATAAAATATACCATCTGCCATCATGAAACCTGCTATGACAGGTTCTACCGTAACTAGTCGTGTGTTTCTGATGACTGGGCTAGTCAATGACCGATAGTCATTTGTTGCTTTAACGTCACCTTCTTTATTTACTGATTGTATCATATTAAACTATAATATATACAGTATATATATATATATATATAATAATAGTGTAGTTTTATATAGCGCACATATCCATCTAATGTTAGATGCTCAGGGCGCTTAATATATGGACTAGGAACTCGATCAATCTTCCGCTGGAACTCTTATATTAAGTCTTCTTCTCATTTGGATTAGTATCTGAAACAAAAAATATAAATTTCCATCAATTCTGAATATTTTATTTGGATTTGATTTAAATAAGTAAAAATAAGAGGAGAAGAGAAAGTGGAGGAAAAAGTAAGTGACAGCTTATGATGGTGATGGCATAAGTGGTGGATCAGTTTGAGAGTGTGTGATAGGGTAGGACTCAGGGCCGTAGCCACGAGAATTGAAGTGGTTAGGCTGCGAGCGAAGCGCGAGCACTGATGATTGGGGCTAGGGGGCCGCCAAGAGCCCCAGGTCGGGGTTCAGGGTTCCGGGGCCATTAAGCCATTAAACTGTGATATTGTAAACCATTAAACTGTAATATTATTAACGTTAAGCCATTAAACTGTAATATTATTAACTAAGACCAATCAACACATAACATAAAACATGTACATATCAAAATTATTATGTTTAATCTTTCCTTGTCGGTGCTTGCATAAAACGTGATTTTTATCTAACATGTGTATAATGATATTGATACTGTACAATATTATGTTAAACATTTACTGAGTGGACTTCCTTATGTTGTGGTCATATTAGACTGTAATAGTATAAAAGAAGTCCATTCAACAAACAACATAAAACATATAAGTTCTCATGTCGGTGCATGCATAAAACGTAATTTCCTAAAATTTGGATATCTGAGATTGACAGACAAAATTCTCTATAATATAAATTTAACAAGTGGACTTCGTTGATTTAAGGAAATATATATGTATATTGTGATACGCAGAGTTTAGGTTAGAAGTTTAAAAGAGAGTACTTCCTTATGTTGTGGTCATATTAGACTGTCATATTAAAAACCATTCAAAAAAACATACATATCAAAATTATTAAGTTAAACTTTCTACTTCGGTGCATGAATATAACGTCATTTTGGGATATATGAGATTTACATAACGTTTGAGAATGTACTTAATATAAAACCTTAAATATTTTACATTTTAACCAGCAATCTATGGGAAATACAGGATTGGTTATACTGTAAAGCCTTCTGAACCCCTGCAATACTAAAACTGGGATGCAACAGGCAGTGAATATTCCATTTTGATTTAGTGTAGATGTTTTTTTTTTAAATATTTTTATTTTATTTGAATTCTATTCATTTTGTATGATTCATGTTATATCTTCCACAGAGATAAATGAATGCCTGAACTGATATTTTATGGGTTTCATATTACTTTCTATACAGACCAGATATCATAAATCGTCTATTGTCCGACTGTGTGCATTGAACATATGACGACGATAATGTCTCCAAATTCCCACCCGTAACTTAGGCTACGGGTCTCGCTTGACACTTCACATCAAAGGGCCTGTTAATTAATCTTGCACAGCTTCCTCATCATCATCATCATCTTTTTCATCATCATAATTATTAATTGTCCATAACAAAGTAGGGAAAAACTATGAATTCAGAGTTTATTCAATAAGACGTCTCATAATGCACGAATTTCAAAGCATCTACAAAACAAAAACTTTTCGAAGGAGACCCGAAGACTCCCCCACCCCATATCTAAAATTTGTCTTCCAGCGACAAAACAAGCTAGTTCTATTCTCATGACCCCTTCCACCATGGGAAACCATTTGTGCGATAGCCAGGGTAAACTCTGGATCCGTACTTGAGAATATTTAAGAGAAGTGCTTAAAAAAGGTATATTTACAGAAAATAATGTCGCATACTAGAACTATCAAGAAAAAATATACCGATAAAGGCATGTTTTTTGTCTTGGTAATTTAGTGAAGAAGTGAATAATTATATGTCCTAGGCAAGTGTATGGAACTTTAGTCTGAATTTCTGCAAAAGCTCACTATGTGTAGTAATTGACCTACTTGATTTGGATAAAAGGTATGCCCACTAGACACTAAAAAAAATGTAAACTATCATTAATTCTAAACATACAGGTGGAATTTAGCCATTTTTTTCCTTTTCAAAATTTAAATAATTAACTTGGTCTGCCAAAAAGTGGTCAGGTTGAAACCTGACCAACTGTACCGGTTCCTACCCTAATGCGATAGAGGTGAGCTTATGGACCCGGGGACAAGAAATGTTCTGTAGTTGAGGTAGAGGGATCAGCGTAGGCCTAGACAAAAGAAAAAAACCGAAGCAGACTTGTGGTAAATACATTTGAAGAAAAAAAATTGTCAGGAATGCATTTTCTTGCGATCTATGAGGTCTTCCAGATGGGGTCCTAATCTACTCCCACCCACGCCTCTGGCATAAACTCCGATAAAGTTAAGGTGCCGAAGGGTTCCGAAAAAATATAGTGATTCTGTTCTTCTAAAAGACTCGTTGCTCCTCTCAAGCGAAAAGCATTTTTTGAGCACAGTGAGAAACTCATGACTGACAATGGGGCTCACCATAACACAACAATCAGATTAACGCCCAGTATTGGTTCAAGGGCGAGGCATAATCTCCCCCACCCCTGCCCACAAAAAAAAAAAAAATCAGCAGTTCTGACGTTTAACTATAGGATGGCTATAGGACTACAATAATTAATGTAATCTCCTATTTATCAACTTTTACAATCGCTTTACTATTGGATGTGTCTGGGCCAGACTTTAGGTTTTAGTCTAGTAGGAACGGTTCCCATGCACCCCCAGGATATATTTTTTTAACTAACATTTTTGTAATCCTCAAAGTATCTGATGAACGAATTTTGATGTTCCCATTGAAAAAAATTGTCCCATGGGGTCGTTTGGAGCCATTTTGGTGGCCATCTTGAATTTTGAATAAAAATCAATTATTTGCATAATTTATTAACTGAAAATCATATAAAATCACATTAACCTCTAAATGTGTATAGTAAGCAGTGTTTAAGTTCTTAATACAAAACATTGACCTCGCATTTACATTTGACGGCCATATTGGCGGCTATCTTGGATTTTGAATGAAAATCAATTATTTGCATAATTTATTAACTAAAAATCATATAAAATCAAATGAATCTCTAAATGTATATACGGTAGTAAGCAGTGTTTATGTTCTCAATACAAAAAAATTTACTTCTCAATACATTTGGCGGCCATATTGGATTGTCAATGAAAATCATTAATTTGTATAATTTATTAACTAAAAACCATATAAAATCAAATGAACTTCTAAATATATAGGCCTATGGTATAAACAGTGTTTATTTTCTCAATACGAAAAACATTTACTTCGTAATACATGTAACACATGCTGTTACATTCAATGAATCATTTTTGTGATGTTTTACAAAGAAAATCCCTTATAAAATCATGTAATTCTTTAAATGACTATAATTAATGGACGACCCACTCTACACATACTTTATTATTACTACTGCCAAGGAGGTTATGCATTCACTGCCTTTTAGCAAGATCACACTAAACGGATCATCATAAAATTTACCAGAGTGGTACATATTAATCTAAGAAAAATCACAAGGCTTGTTGCAACATAATATCAGCCTATTACCTTGCTTGAAGTTACCAAGCTGATGGTTCACAGGTTGAAAGTTGGGATACAGTAGGTTGTGGGTGCTTTATTACAGCCACAAAGTTCTGACCAATCTCCATGATGGCATCCTCTCACTGCTTCCATAGATCCTTGATGACTGAATATTCTGTGCCTGACTGCTAGATAGGGGTAATACTGGCGATGGCTGACTTACAGAAGAGTTTTTCACCAGACCTGAGACAAAGCCACCAAATCCTGGAACAAGTTGTTTCTCTCTGTTGCTACCAATATGCATGTAACCAGACATGATACTCTTGAATGCACCTTTGAATACAGCTCCCTCAGAAAATTTGGGCCCAGCACAACCTGAACTGGTGCCAGAGTCACGATCATATATCCTTTCAAGAAGCACATTTTGCTTCGTTTGTAGAGGAAACGTCCAGAGCTCAAACCCGGGTTTTACCACTTGTACCTTGATTCCACCAGCATTGTTCAACACAGTTTGCATGAATATTTGTCATAATTTTGTTCAGATTGTCCCACTCAAGATGAAATATGGCATTGAGCTGAGGAGTGAGGGAAGTGGATACATCATCAAGAGCTGATGATGAATCTGAACAAAATTATGACAAATATTCATGGTTCAAAGGTGTTGAACAGTGCTGGAATTTAGTACAGGGGGTGAAACCCAAGTTTGGAGCCAGCACACCAGAAGAAAATGCTCCGGACGCGTCGCTAACCGTCTACGCATGAAGCCAGATGCGCTCATGAGAGTGGATATGGCCAAGATCCTGGCATCAGTCGTGTTGGGCCAAAAACGGTCTGAGGGAGCTGCATTCATTCTGCCTGCGCTAAACTGTACAGTCCATCTGAGAGTATCATATCTGGTTACTGGCACGTGCAGTGGGGAGCGTAGAGAAACAACTTGTTCCAGGATTTGGTGGTTTTGTCTCAAGTACCGGGTGAAAAAGTTACCCCTATCAACCAGCCATTCACAAACTATTTTGTCATCATGGAGCCACGGAAGCAGTCAGAGGAAACAACCATTCATGGAAATTTTCTAGTGTTGTGTAAGCATGTTCCCCACAATAAGATTTGTCTTATTAGACCCTAAGGCATAAAAAGCGAATGGTCACTGCCAGTAAGGTAGAGCACTTGAGGAAATTTGATGTGGGTGAACATGTTGGAGTTAAAAACAATAGAGATGAGTTAATTAAGCATTTAAATGGATGTGTAATTAAGAGATTGGGTCCTCTAAACTATTTGGTGCGTGTTGCGGGAGCCCTACGCTTTTGTCATGCCGACCATCTGCTGGCTAGTGTTCCTGTCAATGACGTAAGTGGGCATACTCCAAGGGAAGTTCATGCAGAGAAGCAGCAGGATCCACACCCTGTGCCTTTGCCAACGCAAAGTTCCACACTCTCTGAAACTCCAATGGTGTTCGAAAACCCCAGAGTGAGTGAACCGGTTAACAAAGGTCAAATAGTCCTACCAGCTCAAAAACCCCTATTGCGAAGATCCTCACAAATAGTACAGTAAGTCCCCAGACCGTCTGAATTTATAGTTT